GGCCGGCCTAACGGGTCGGGCCTAACAATTTATTTTTAATAGCGGGCTCGGAACGGGCAGTGGTGCTTGACTTTCGGACCGGGCCGGACCGGGCCTGAAAAATTTGGCCCGTGCAGGCCTCTACCTTGTGGTTCCTGAAGTATTTAACCTTTCTGAATTGTAGATAAAGAGTTCTTACACGAAAAAATTGGTTGAATCGGGTAACGAGTTTGTGATAGAGCGGTATGGAAACTTCCCATGTTTGAAAGAAGTTCTTTCATTAACTTTACATAAGAAAATTGGCGTACCTAGAGGGGACAGGGGTGGACACGGCCACACCAACACCTAATTACATCATATTATCGATCTTTATAATTTATATAAAGATTTATTTCTATATTTTTGCCGTAGAATCACCCCTTGAAATAGTTGTTAATAATTTCAGGACATCCCGTATAATTAATGGCAGGCGCTGTGTTTGTTATTTCAAAGAAAATTGCTCGATTTCTTTGGCAAGTGACGCCTCTGACGCTACTGTTTTAGGTTCTTCAGCCCGTAATACTCTTTGCTTTGCATAAAAACTTGGAATACGTGCTACAGAAAATAAATTGCAACATAACAGTGATCTTCGGGGAGCGACAAATATGACGGAGGACGTGTTTTATATCTTAAAAAATAGCTACGTAATTTTCAAGTCGGGATTGCTCGTATATTTTTATGCTTTTTCTTCTTATCCTAGATACTAGACCATATATTTTTTCTTTTCTGCAAGTTGGTTGACCTTTTTATAGAATAGGTAATTTGATTATTAAAATTTATTATAGAGCAAGAGGTTTCTCTAAAATCACAAATAATAAAATAAATCACAAACATACCAAAATCACAGGATATAACAGAATGAAAAATCACAAAAAATTACAAGAAGTCCCAAAAAAACACAAAATATCACAAAAAATCTCAAAAAATCACAAAAAAATCACAAAAAAACCCAAAAAGATCACCAAAAAAGGAATGATATAACTGAAGTTCAAATAATAAAATTACTTAAGTTATGAACCAGAATATTGTCACGTGATACAAATGTAGAAATTGGCAAATAAAAATATGAAGTCATTGTAATGATTAAAAAACTCATATTGATGTTTTCAGTTCTTCATTTTTCTTTCTTTTTTAAATTGGGAAACATTTTTGAAAGAAGAGATCCTATGACATATCGGTTCGTCAGGATTGGAGAAAAGTGTTGACTTGAATTACACTTTCCTTTGTGGTTTAGGTTACCTGATGAACTCAGTACGGATGAACTAGCTGATTCTTGAAGAAGGTGTATGGAAAATTTCTCGATATAAAAATTTGAAATTTTGTCCCAATTTTTTTTAATAAAATGATTATTTGAAATTGTACTTGTTGTTAACAACTCTTTTTGAACAAATCTATCTTAAACTGAAACACAAATCTCTTAACTCATAGCGATGTATCTTGTTCAAGAAGAATGATGAAAATAAAAATGAAATTTAAAGATGTTAAACCACGCCCTCGCAAACTGGTTTAAAGAATAATGTTATTGCATCATGAAATTTATGTTTTGCGAGAAGAAATTATGAATACGTGACACTTTGCTCGCTGCAAAATCGGAGTTTTTTTATGTTTTGTTTCTGTGCTTACACAGAGGCATATTCAGATTTACGGTTAAAAATATGTACGTTTTTAATAAAGATTATGTTGTTGACAAACCTCATGAAATATAACTTTTATAATAACGTTAATTTGCAATTCAAGCTAAACGATACGTCCTCTGTAAGTAGGCTTGTTTCAGTGATGCTAACCGGAATTCTGCTACGACAGAAGATTTTCACTCCTTGTAGCTTGCAAGTGTCATCAAATACCTACTCTAAAATAAGTATTTGGAAATTTGTTGGGAAATAAATGAACAGAAGTAGTTACTTGTATGCTTTAGTTTACTTCAAGAATTTTGAATAAAACTGTATATCACTAATACCGATATTATTTCGTTGTATTGTTAGTTGCATAACTTTCATTGGAATATTTAGTTAGAAAATCATATAGTTATTCTCAGCCAGTTGTTGTCGGGTGGTTTTCTTGCTTTTAAAGTAAAGTGAAGTAAAGTAAATTTTTTGGCGTACATACATGTTTGTAGTTTTAAAAAAGTAGCTAATTTTGTATGTATCGAGGGATACAGTGTTTTGATTATTTTGTACAGATTAAAGGTGGAAAATAGGGACCAAAACAGAACTATTAAAAATTGTAAGTTCACTAACAAAGACTATTTATATATAGCCAACTTTCCTTCCTTCGATATAAAGTTCCAAAGACAATAATTGTTTTTAAAATCAATTGAATTTGAATTTTTCACAACCAGTCACATAAAGTATATCATTTTGACACTTGCTGCGATTACATAAAATGTCACTTTGTATGTTTAAATTAGAACAACACTATTGTAATGCTAATATCCATCGAAAAACCATAAAAATAAAATCAAAAAATACACAAGCCCGCCATGAGATTAACAATGCTTATATATGTAGTGACAAATAATAAACGCGGAAAAATTAATTTGAATCGTAAATGTGAAAATTATTGATTAACAAGGTGGATAATTAAAGTAATCGCACTCACAGACCAAGTAGTATACATTGTTATTGTAACTGAAGATATAAGGTGGTATGTAGGTAGCGAATGACTTAAATTACATCATTCCTGTAAAAATATAGTTAAAGGATGTATATTGACGCTATTTCGAAGGGTTCTTCCCAATTTTCCCTCCTTACTTTCTACGCTCATCAATCTAAAGTGGCAAAAACGGGCTCTCATATAGTTAATACCATCTCGCCCACTTTTGCTCTTGTTTGGATTTCGATCATCTCTTTTATTTTCCACTCTATACTTCACATTTTACGCCAAATTACGACCATGTATTGTATCGCTGATGTGGCAAATGCTTTGTATGAATTAGGAACAGAGGATACTCGAAGGATATTGAGTTATTGATGTGTTTGGAAGCATCGAAATTATTCATACAACAAGTGTCGGAAGCTTTTGTTTTGTTTTAACTTTGTATAATCAGGAATATGTTTCTGAACAGATAGAATCAGGATATCGAGCAGATCAGAAAGTTTAAGATGGCACAAGGTAAGTAGAAAAAAATTGACATATGTACAGCAAAAATGTTAAATATACAAAATTAAATTGTATTTTTCCCGTTAGATTGTTAAAATTACTATTTTTGGAAAGACCCAAGTTGAAAATATTAGTAGAAAAACGTCTACTTGAAATTAATATTATTATTACATACGGCTGTACATTTATTGTAGAATTTTAGCCAACATTTTTTACTTTTCTGTTAAGTATAGCAATAACTCAATCAGCCCTACTTCTACTTCATTCTACTACAAGTTTTCGTGTTTTGTTGCTTTTTCAGTTGTTGTTCTCTATTCCTTCCTGTTTCTGATCTCCATCTATAAATCTTTCTCTTATTTATATCCTCTATTATTTGGTCTTCCCAATGAATTTTATTTATTGATTTATTTCCCTTTCTTTGTTTCATGTCGGTACCATCGCATTATCTTTAACTTTATAATTTTCACTACATCTTCTTCTAATATATCATTTATTTCTATGTTCATAAGCCGTTTTCTTGGACCTACTATTCTTCTTTCGAACACTTTTAGCCTCACTTTATCTTTATTAGTTAGACACATTGTTCCTTCTGTGTATATCACAACTAGACTTATAGCGGTTCTAGATCGTCTTTCTGGCTTATTCTAATGTATCTTCTTCTGGTTTATACCTAGTCCTCTTATTTTTGCTGCATTATGTATGTTGTTTAGAGCCTCTTGTATGCTATTTCGTGCTATATCGTTTCCATATAATATTAGTTGTACCATTTACCAGTTGTGTTGAATTGTATTGCCTATAGTCCATTTCCTTGTCTTACTCCTTGTCTTGTCTCTATTTCTTTTGTTAATCACTCTTCTGTTTGTACGACTGCTTTCGATCCCTCCATGATCTTAATTAGATTTTTGAACCAAAATAGGAAAAAATAGCTAAAATAGGACTAAACATCACAACAAATGAAATTACAAATAATTTAATTCTTGATTGTACTGTTTCCCAGTTAGTCAAAGCAGAAGTAAGCAACAACTAATAAAGCTATGAGGAATGAGGATATTCATCAAAATTGTCAATTACACCCTACCTTTTTTCACCAGTAATTCTGCATGAACTACTGGAATTTGACATTTTTCATGTCAGTTTCGCTACAAAGAGATATTTAACCCGATGCTGTATAGAAGTATTTAAAGATTTGAGAAAGAAATTGACCGCCCGAACTAGCACATCAAATTTCTGTCCAGGAATCTCGACAGTCAATGTCGTGATGGTCTGGAAGAAAAGGCATTTGTCTAGCATACAAGGATGTCCGGGTTCGATTCCAAGCTGCGACATGCTTGTTTTTCAAATCTTTGTTTGTTTTCACCTTTGGGGTTCTGGGATGGTTTGTATTTAGTGTTTGATAACACTTTCCTAAGATCATATAATACTAGCGAAAGTAGCATATTATTTGTACTTTCTGAGTAATAAGCGCTCGAAAATGAGACATCCGGTGTATAAAATCTAAGGACGAAAAACACGACAAAATATTACTTATTTTTTACATGGAATCAGTTTAAATTCTGAAAACTTATCGATTATTTATCTAAAAACGTAGAATATAAATTAATTAGTACTACTAAAATACATTTTTCAAAATTACCCATACGAAATAATTAAAACTATTTTTGAAAAAAATGAACTCAAATTTATTTATCTAATGATCTGATGTCCGAGTTGGTAAAGGCAGCACATGTAAAATGGGAATGTAAAGAGTTTGAATCCTTCCCGGGACATAGTTCTAAAATTTTTCCAAAAATTTTATTTACTTGGGGTAATTTTGAAAAATTAATTTTGGAATTACCAAAGAATTTATATATTTATTTTAATTTTCAAAAATACTTTCAACTCACCTGTCGCTACTGACAAATACAATTTCAAAGTTTGGCTCCTTTTTCCTTATTATCCTGTAGATTTCTGCTAGTTGTGGGGTAAATGCGCGACATGGAGGACACTGTAATGAAAATGTAATGCTTAAAATGATTTTTTTTCCGAGAAAATATGTAAGAGTTTTTTTTTTTGTTAATAGGATAACAAAAAAATGCAGTATTAATAAAGAAAACAACCAGGAAAAGAAGGTGAAAGGAATCTGTAAAGAGGCGAAAGAGGTAAAAAGATAGAAGATTGTACCAGCAGGTATATAAAAAAAGCAATGACGATTGAATAAACTTGAGGTTATAGCAATAAATAATAAACCAATGAGTTAATTATTATGAAAATTTAGGTATGTGTGACAATAAGACCAAAGCCATGTTAATATTTGTTTCGTTTATGAAATGATTTGTATCCAATTTTGGACAAACCTACTAGACATATCTGTATCTGTAACGTGTGGAGGGTGGGTTAACCCACGGCACTTAGACCTCCGTAGGCCCATTGTGCAGATTTAATGTAGTTGACAATGTCGCCAATAGGTGCTTCTCTTATATTGACCGGTGTTAGCCAATTGCCGAACACAAATCTTGTTGGCATCCCCTGCAGAGTGCGGATTCTGCCAGATCTACGATATGGAGATGCTTCCGTAGTTAGCAATGTTCAGTCAGAATCCCTGTGATCAGGTGCAGATTTTGTCTAGTCATAGTCAAGTATTTGTTTGCTGTAGTGTTGTCGGGATAACTTAAAAGCTCCCTCGCAAGTCTGTAGCTTCTTGTTTCATCCCATCTTTTCTTGAATTTCACAATCGAATGTATAATTAGGTTTGTCACTACCGATGTTGACAGTCCAATAGAGGCGCCAGGTACAAAAAGTATTTGGCTGGCTGCCTTCTTGGCAAGTGAATCAGCAAGACGATTATCTTTCAATGTGGCGTGACTTTTGATCCATCTTAAGTTGACTACTTTTTTTATAGATACTTCGGTTAAAGCTTCGTGACATTCTAGTACTAACCCTGAATAAATTCGTGGTCTGTACAGGGTGAGTAGTGCCTGTCTGCTATCTGTATAGATGAGCATGTTTCTTCCAGTGATATTATTTCTGGTGATTTCTTTTGCTGCCATGAGAATCGCCGTGAGCTCGGTTTGAACTACACTGGCACTACTGCTCACAGCCCATTTTAGGTTTAGGTTAAAGGATCTGGAGTATATTCCACATCCTAAGCCTTGTTTGTTTTAGAACCGTCGGTGTAGATATGAATCGTACCTGCCACTTCCGGCTCTTCTATTTGTTCTAATATAACGTAATGTGGCTTGTGAAAGATATATCTTGGTGAGATGGAGTCCATGTTTGCTTGAAGCAGTTGGAGCGTATAACTACTAGACATAATTTCGAATTAACACTTATTCTTAATCGGTTTTATCCGAAATATCAAAAAGTCTGATTTTTAAAGGGGCAAGCTATAGGTATATTTTATGTTTTTTGAAATCAATAGTTTAAATTTTATATGACAGTGTTGCCATTTTTTTTTTCTCTCACACAAAAAAATATAAACTGGAAAATAATGTTCTAATAGACTTGAATAATTTGAAACACAGACTATTTTATCAACTGAGTAAAAAGTAAATTCTTGAGACTAAAAATAAAATTCTAAAACGTGTTTTTACCAAAATCATCGCACTTTTTTTTAAATGGCACCTATTGAGAGCCATTTCGCCTTCAGATGGAATATGCACCATGCACCACATAGTAGGTACATTAATTTCTAGTTCATGGCCTTACGTATCAAAAAAATTGTTTTAAATATAATAAATGTTTAGGAAAAATGAAAATCTGGCAAAACTGTGACATGTAATTTAACCTGTAGATTTCAAAATATCCTTTTAAAAAATTAAACTTTACATTTTCGGTTTAACCGCAACTCAGCCAAGTATAAATGTCAATTTAAAATCATGTCTAGTATGTTTGTTCCACATTTGATCTGAATCGCTTAATAAATAAAATGAAAAAACATGGGTATGTAAAATCAGAAGACTTACCCAGTTAGCTGAAAAATAGAATCCTTTTACTCCATCTGGTAAAACTTCATACCGAATGTCTTCTTTGGTAAAATTTTTATGTTCCGAATAAAAAGTTCCTCCTGGTTGTAATACTACGTCTTTTAAAACCTGCAAAAAAGATGAAAATGTTAAGAAAGATTATAAAAATTGAAAATATTATTTATTTGCAGATAGTTGGTATTACGAATATAAACTCGAAAGTTTTGTAGCATCATTCAAAATTGGTTAATATTCTTTAAAATGCTTTATACGGAGCTGCAGTTTTTAGTACATTTGAATAAAGTTAATTTTCTAATCAACTCTTTATAAATACATAAAAAATAAAACGCTTTCTTAGTGCATATACAAATCATTATTTCCGACACATATCATGAACACCTGTATATGACTCACGGTAGTTTCAAAAACCTTTCTCCATCTTTCCTACATCGTAATTTAACTAACTCTCTCTAGAACAAAATCAAATCCAATCAAATTTAACCAAGAAGTTGGTAAACAATGACACAATTGCCTGTATACAATTCAAGCTTCTCCTAAACCTCGTCCTTGTCTATTAATCAACTTCAGTATCAAACCCGCTTTCTCCTTGTTCACTTCGAGCATAGTTAATTTTTAATACTCTTACTAAATTATAGTTTTTAAATAAATTACTTTTAATTTTTTATCGCCATTTCGAAACGTAAACTTTAAGTACCCGTTTAAAATACTAATAATATATTTTTACCTGTTCCACTGGACGTGGTCTCCAAGGAAAGTTTGCACCGCTGGGGTCCTCTAAAAGTTTCTCTTGGGCCGACACGCTGACAGTAATGCCATCTCGACCGAGTAGGACTAATGTTGGTACTCCTGATTTTATTCTGTATCTTCTCGATAGTCTGGTCTGAAACGAAACATAACTTTCTACTAAACTTTCAAAAATAACGAAGTTTTTATATAATAAATAAAATACAAGACGTCGTAAGTTAGCAACAAAATATCGATATTTATTTAATAAAAGTATGAAGTACACTTTTTAAATTAATTTTTCTTTTTTTAGATTCATATATGTAATGGAAATTATTAAAAAAACTAAAATTCTAAAGAATTGGTAACTCAATATAAAGAATATAGAAATAAATTATTTACAATAATAAAAAAAGTAAAAAAAAAGAAGAAACAAAAAAAAATTAAAAAAACGAAGAAAAACAAAAAATTATTATTACTACCTAATTAAATTAACTTAACTAATTAGTCGCTGTGAAAAAGAGAAAATAATTAATGGATTCAAAAGATTCCAACACTAATATAAATGAAAATGGAAGTTTAGTTAAAAATAAAGAAAAAACAAACTTATTTAATAATTACTTTACAAACATGGGTAAAAATATAGCAAATACAATATAAAAAGTTTACAATTTATTAGATAACTGCCATATTGTCACAAATCCCAAAAATATTAATAATAATTTTTCTTAGTGTTTTTTAAAGTAAATTAAACAAATTCATTTTATTTTTTATTCAGCATTTTTTGTTAAGTCAAAACATGGATAATTAAACAAATTTGAAACCGATTAAAAAATACTGCCGAGTACGTAGGAAATAATAAAGAAATTATATTGCTTAATTAAAATAATATCAGGTCACCAACCACGTAATTTAAGTTTGATTCAACTACGAAAATTTTTGCAGATCGGCAATATTCAAAAAATTAGGTAGGAAAATTAAACAAAGAAGTTAGTTGTAAACTCGACAGCGAAAAAGGTGGACTCAAAAAGAGAGCCATTTTTTTTTTGATATAATTTAAAATCCTTATAAATTAAAAAAAGTTTTTCATTGTGCCTTTTGTGGAAGATTGCGACGTGCTCCAAGCTTGAGAAATGTGGTAAGTGTACCAAAACATTTAAAAAATATTGTTAAAGTAAATGAGGTGTGGTTGAGATTGAATAAATTATATATTTTCTTATATTTTGTTATTTTCTTTCAAAAACGAAACTGGTACAAAAAACACGACTTCGTGACAATATGAGATTCCTTTTTTTGGAATCAGTAACAGTTTTAGAGTTACATATTCCAACAGAGTAACAGACGGTACTTTCTCCAGGACCACAGACACAGTAGGAGTTGAAAAATATAGTAAAATAGTAAAATGAAATATTTAATCCAACTTATGTTATTTAAATTATTTGCATAATTTGTCAGTTCAGAAAGAATATTATCTAATTTTATATAAGAATTATTTTCACCAATTTTTGAATTTAAGTTCGACTTAACAAACGCCGATTATCTTTATTCAGGCAAATTCGAACTAAATATTAATAGAACTGTAGAACTGTCAGTCTTGAAATTCATGACTATCCACGATGTGGGCGTGGTTTAGCCATTGGTCAGAAGCTATTACATAATGAATATTCTCTCTCTAGAGTTTGAATGAATTACGTGTATAGGAACAGAAGTTGGAAAGGCTTTTTGCTTTACACATAAAAACTGACAGTGTTGCTGCGGAACTAACCGAAGTGAACGCGATACATTAGCGTACAAAATTATTTTATAAATGTTAATAAGAATTTCAGGTAAATAGTTTAATAAATTGTGAATAGATGTTAAAATTTTGTAGAATTATGCTTTAGGATATTATAATACTTGTTTAATGATTATTTCTAATCCATAAATACATGCAATTGTTCGGTTCTGCCGGTAACAATTTAAAATTACTTATTCTATGAAACGACACTGGTAGATAAACATTACTGCGAAATTGTCGAAGTCGTCCGACGTGGTTTGACGTTTACCGTCTCTTCACATACCAAAAGCATTTCCAACTTCCAAATACATAAGAAGCAAGTGTTTCAGAATTTTCTTTCAATATCAAGAGCAAGAATGCTTCCTTTCTGTTAATATAAAAGTGGTTCTGAAAAAACTAAATTCAGTAGTGGCCAAGGAGAAATAATAATATTTTTCTACGATAAATTATTTTCAAGTTATTTGTACGTAGTTACATGCTTTTTTTATTATATTAGTTAACATGGACTTTGAATATCAACTGCTTTTTTCATGATTAACGTAGGTATAGGTAACACATTATACATTACTTACGACAAAGTTTCAGATTTTATATCTATTTCTTAAAAAGTGTGATCGTAGAAAAATCTTGTGTGCATTTTGAGCAAAAAGTTGGTTGCTGCTTTCGACAGAATACCGCGCTCCGCAACGCGTCGCGCGGGCAAATTTTTGTCTAAAGCGACAAAGTATCGCTTTTCGCTCTTAATATACAAATAGCTATTATTTCTAACTTAAAAACCACTTTTCTGCAGGACCTGATAAATATTGGAAACTAAATTAAATATTTTCATATTGTAACGTTTATTTATTTTAAACAGTTTTTTATTGTAATGTATTTACTCTAACCACATTGATTTATACTAAACAAGTTGGTGGGTTAGAATATAATTCTGAAAAATCTATTATTCTTATTTCAGCTTATTTTACAGTACGAAATACTTCAATTTTTCAGTCATTCCATAGGTATTTTAAGGCGATACCCTTAATACGATACAAGAAAGTTGCAATATTAGCCCGCATTCCATTCTTGCCGCGAGAATTCCACACATCGCGGCACATAAACTACCTACTTAAAATTAAACCCAAGTTCGTGTTTGTTTAGGAAGTCAAAAGGCATTCAACGAGCGTAAACATACGGTGTGTGCACCAACCAGATGATATCTCTGTAAATAAACAATTCTTTATTCCGTTCAAAAAGGCCGTGTTTCGCTTACCTACGATTTCAACGATCTCATTTTCATTTAAAATTTCTCTGCCATAATGCTCATAATCATCGTGGAAATGAGTATTGTAATAGGGGAAAAAGGGACTGCGGTAGGAATGAGGATATTATATCACTTCTTATCGGCGTAGATATTTCTAGTCTCTTTTTTTGCCCACTCTTTTTAATTAGGTACAGGAAAAGAGGGTGAACAAGTTGCACTATATCCCGGCGGAAGTAGCGGTAATGTGTCCTGAGATATGGAAAGTAAAATAAAATATATTATGTATGCTTCCAGACGCCGAGAACAATAAACAAATACCCGTATACGGGCATTTTCTGTGTTTCGATTTTGCTACGTTAGGTGTAGGGATTGCGGTCATGTGACACTCGCGTCTCTGGGACAACACTAATGATTTATAATTGCTGTGGTGGGAGGTTTTGTGTAAATGCGTCTTGTTTGTTTTCATTTACGCCGTGACTAGTAGTAGTATTTTATAAACCTTGGAAGCAAATTTCACATACATGAACAAATAATAATAATGCTGTGACAACAAGAAGATGAAGCAACGACTTCTCGTAGGGTGGCAGCTTTGCCGCCACCAGAAAATTTTTATCCATACCTGGCTACGCCGACCGGCATAAACACCAACGGCCTCAACACAGCTCACCTACTCTGTCAAAAGAAGACCGATGTACAAATAAAACGCGTACAACATGCGCACTACAAATGATTAGTGTTGTCCCCGATACGCGAGTTCATGTGACCGGATATTTACATTTTTCAAAAGAGGGTTGATATTATGACAGTCTGGTGAAAAGTAGTCTGTTTTTTGATATAGGTGTAAAACAGGTACATATAATAATTGATCTAAAATTATTTGTATGACTTTCAACTAAGAGTTGCAGAAATTTTTTTATTCAGTAATTTTACCCCATTTAGCATTTTATTCACCCCGTGGTTTTAGTGAAAAAATGTCAGTATAATTAAATTTATGACTAATGGGGTAAATCAACTGAATAAAAACGCCAGCAAGGGCAATATCTTTAGTTGTGAGTCATACAATAATTTTAAGAACAATTAAACTTCTTTTCGGCTTTCGGTTCTGATTTTATATCTTTCATCAGGTTTTAAAATGCTTCTTTTGCAAATATCAACCCGTTCGCTGCTGACACAAAATAAGAGCGGACAATAAAAAGCGACTTGCCACTTTTCCAGTCAGCTGAGGGACTATCCCCAATTTATGAGCGTATTATTTTGAAATGAATAACGTTAGAACCGTAAGTTTTGTTCCAGCGATACGAAAATGGTGTATTATTTATGTTTAAAAACTTTCAATTATTTCAATCCAAAATAACCCAGTTTTATACGACACCATGTATATTTCTAAAAAACACATGTGCTGCGTTTAAAAATAACAAATTATTTAAATTTGAAAAACTTGGTACATATGTATGTTTTTTCAATTTTCCAATAATATTTTAATTTATATACCTCAGTACAGGATTTTTTGTGTCTGCGAACGGGATCTATACAATCTGGCAAAAAATGGTCTGTTTTCAAAATAGGTGTAAACGAGGTATACTTGTTCCCAAAATGTTTATAAAACTCTGACCCCCCCCCCTTCTGTAAAATACCTTATTTAAAAAAAAAATGTGAAAAACACGGTAAAACGCTTAGAGCCGTCAATTTTATAACAAGTTTGCCTCTCTTTTCATCCTCTCCACGTGACTGCCTCCCCCCTATTTTTTTTTTATAGCAAGAAGGACTGTTTAGCCCAAAGTCAACCCAGATACTAAGGTAGCAGATACCAATACAGCTCTTACTTGGTAAGGTAATTATCTGAATTCTTGGTTGAGAGGAAGATGTTGAAGGAAAGCTAACAATTGTTGAACTACTAATTGATGTTGCCCGTCTTCTATGCGATACTCATTGGCAACACTCTGAAACTAGAAGAAATCTTCTTACATTAGAATTTAAAAGTAATCTCACATGAAAAGCTAGAAAGCGTTTAGGTGAAGATTTGAAGCCTAAGTTAATGTTAAGACTTCAAAAGTTCCCCCGGACAATAGAAGTACTCATTACTCACGCCCAGGTGTACACCAAGAGAAACCTTGGAAAAGACCTCAGAGAACTTTAA